CCTTCTTAGAGATTGAACAGCTTAGCATCTCTGAGCATCTAAACGCTTGGTAATCATTAAATTATAGTAGACGTGAAATAATAATAATTATATACTTCGGACTACTTACCACACCACATCTATTGGTGTGAAGTAAAATAAATGCGTGATCCGTCGCAGAGCATATCAATTTATCTGCTTGTAGTATAATACTCGCTTTGTTACTGCCTCACACCGAAATACAATTATAGGTGTACTGGTGTTCATCCATTCATTCATTATAGCCTATCTTATGTCCAATGGTGAACATTGGTCTCCTCCACACATTGCTGCATATGATTGCCAACGTTGCCACCCTCAGCAGTAGGGTTGGCACGTTACAATCACGTTTCATGACCGTAAAATGTAAGAAGGTGGTACTTACTCTGATCAACTCTAAGTTAGGAAAAGAGCCATACCATATTTAAAAAAAACCGGCCAAGTGCGAGTCGGACTCGCGCACTAAAGGTTCCGAACAAATTCGTAGGCATATAAGTTTAAAATAATCAAAAATATTTTTATTATATGATATAACTAAAAATTTATGCTTTTCGCAAATTTTCCTTTATCGGTGCTATAATACGTTGCTTCGTACCAAATTTTAAGATTCTGAGTTCATAGGAAGTACCCTGTAGGTTTTGATTCCATTGCGAATATCGAAAATTTGCGGCATAAACGGCTGTATCTTTTGATTGCGTTGGCTTAGAAGTTTGATTTTTTCACATCTCCAAGGGACAGTAGACATGAGTATTTGATATGAATTTCAGCTTGATACCTCCACGCGTTCCTGAGAAAAAGGGTCTTTACCGACAGACAGACGGACAACTAAGTGATCCTATAAGCCTTATATAGGCCTTATAAAAAACGGAACCCTTATAGTATAAGGGTTCCGTTTTTACCTTTTGAGGTACGGAACCCTAAAAAGATTAACAACGAAGCCTCAACAATAGCCGGAGCCGATATTTACATCAGATCAACATATATTTTCATTTTAATATTTGTTACATACATTTATTAAAGAGTGATTCACTTCGCTTACCATAATTTGTTTTTTTTTGGGTTTTTTTTTAAAGCGTTACTCCCACACTAGGCTTTTCTCCTATATCGTGGATTCCAGTTTACAAACATTAATTGCACGAGGACAAACATTCAGACTCGAAACAATTATCTGTAGGCCATACAAATACTTGTTCCGTGCGGGATTCGAATCCGCGGCCCCCAGCGCAACAACTCATTACTATATTTGCCAAAGTTTTAAAATAACTTGTAGACTTACAGCTTAATGCAAATGTATACCTATCTTAATTACTTGTTACTTTAAACAGTTGAATTAGAAACTATTATCTCAAAAGTGTTCGTTTTTGTGTAAGGGGGAAAAGGCATCGTAGCTTCAATTAGATTTTTAAAATAATCATCATTTCAATTTTTCACAAAAAAATGTGCAAGTTTTTTGGATAAAATATATATCTAAGATCACTCTTGGCATTATTTTATATCTGTTTGTGAAGTTTCATCACAATCAATTTAGTCATTTTAAAGAATAGCCCAGACAGAAAGACAGGAACACATACATACATATAGACAGACAAAAATTTTACAAATTTTTGTCATAATGGCTTGTTTATATGGTATATAATTGAATCCCAGCAGAGCTATGAAAAATCTCATTAAAATTTTATATTATGACATAATATACTAAATTTGAATATGTACCAATAAATGATAATGGTGGACAAGGATGATACGTTTTATAATTGCATTGCAAGTCCCTGCAAGTTTAAGAGTCAGTAGTTTAGGAATAGATTTCAGGTAACGGAATTGAAAAGACCGTGAAAGCGGATAGACCTGGACAAACCGAACTCGACGCTATGAGGCGTAAAAGGGCATACACATGTCGAGTATTCATCAGGTCAGTGCGAGAGATAGAGGAGTCGAATGATATTGAGCAGATGACTGTCGAATTTCAGTATCTTGTATAGAAATTGGAAGAGTTAAAATCTTTTGACAGTCAAATAAAAAATATGACGATCGATTCTTGCACGGATGAGCAATTTGATGAAGAATGTGACGAATGCGAATCGTATTTAAGGAAGTATTATGCAGTAAAAGTTAAGATTGAAAAATTACGAAAGGAATGTGATAGAGCAAATACAACTTCAGCGGCTACTGACGGATCTCATCAGAAGAGAATCATAAAGCTACCGAATATCGAGCTCATAAAATTCGATGACAATCCGAAGACGTGGGTATCTTTCTGGGGACAGTTCAAAAAGATACACGAGGACGAAACTCTTGAACCAGAAGATAAGTTCCAGTATCTCATACAGGTTATGAAGGAGGGGTCCAAAAGCAGAGAGCTCGTAACTAGCTACCCTCCGTCTGGAAAGAATTACCCAAGAGCGCTGGAGCAGCTACAGGGACGATTTGCTCAAGAAGGTATCCTCATCGAGACGTATGTGAGAGAGCTGCTAGGTCTCGTATTATGTCAGGCTAAGGGACAAAATATGGATATAAGATCGCTTTACGACCAGTTGATGACCCATTTGCACGCTTTAGAGTCACTCAAAGTAACAACGGAAAAGTACGGAGCGATGTTATATCCATTAGTCGAATCAGCTTTACCTGAAAATATTTTAATTGTTTGGAATCGAACTAGAATTGTAAACGATGTTGGTCAATTAACGCAACTTTTAGAGTTTTTAAAACTAGAAGCCGAGGCTGAGGAACACATTAAATTGACGCGCGCTAACTTTAATACTTATAATTCTTCCAGCAGTGTTGATATGCCGCCGACAGCAGCTTGCATCGTTTCGAAAGAGGAGACAAGTTCCAGTAAAACAGGTAATGACTTTTGCTATTTTTGTGATAATACGTCTCATTTGATTCTTCAATGTAATAAAGGGCTCAAAATGTCTTTAGATGAAAAGAGAGCCGCTGTCAAAGATAAGAGGGGTTGTTTAATTTGTTTACGTAAATGTCACGTAGCTAAGCACTGCAAGACGTTTTTAAAATGTATGGCCTGCGGTAAACGTCATGTAGTGATATTTTGTCCGGACCTTCATAGGGATAAACAAAAGGAACCCAAAGAAGCGACAGCACTTTTCTCTAGGAAAGGCGGAAATATTTTATTACAGACTTTTATTTTAGAGTTTTCACATGAGGGTAAAAAGAAGAAAATACGTGCTCTGTCTGATACTGGATCGCAAAGGTCGTATATTAGGAAAAACGTAGTAAAAGAGTTAGGCCTTAAGGTAGTAGGTATAGAGAATTTAGGTTATTCACTATTTAGTGGTGTTACTAAGCCAGCAGAAAACCACAGTCTTGTCGAAGTGAATGTAAGTAGTCTAGATTCTTCTTTCTCTACAAAATTCATTGCTCTTGAACTCGACGACATTTGTGGCTATCTTCCCAAAGCAGACGATCCCAAGCTAAGTTCAAAGTTAAAGTCACTGAATATAAGTATTGACGACAGTGACTGTGACCTTAGCGATGTAAATATGTTAATAGGAGCTGATTATTTAGGAGTAATTTATACGGGCACTATTGTACAATTAGATGGGCCTTTAGTAGCTATTAAGACGAGGCTAGGATGGATATTACAGGGCCCTAACTTTTATAGTGCTGCACAATGCTCAATGACTGTCAATTGTCACGCTCAGAGTAAACTTTCAGATTTGTGGGATTTAGAGATATTAGGGATTTCAGAGCCACATGAACAGATGTGCAAAGATAGGAAAAAAGAAGAGGTAATGAGTCAATTTGAGCAGAATATTAGTTTTAAAGACAATTGTTACCAAGTAGGGTTTTTGTGGAAAGATGGTTATCCCGAAATAGGCAGTAATTACAATGTAGCTTATAGAAGACTTTTAACGACGACTAGGAAGTTAGAGAGGACTGGTCATTTGCTAAGTTATAACGATGTTTTTCAGAATTGGTTAGACGAAGATATTATAGAACATACTGAAAACAATATAGCAGAAGGACACTTTATTCCTCATCACGCAGTCATTAAGATGTCTAGGACTACAACGAAGATACGTCCAGTATTCGACGCATCGTGTAAAAATGCACAAGGATTGTCTTTGAATAACTGCATCGAATCGGGTACCAATCTTATAGAACTAATCCCTAAATTATTGATGAACTTTAGGAAAGGTACGTACGGCGTCACGTCGGATATAAAGCAAGCCTTTCTGCAAATTTTAGTTTCAGAGAAAGATAGAGAGTATTTAAAGTTTCTGTGGTGGGAGAATCCGTTGACCAAAGATAAGATAGTCACTTTCAGACATAAGAGAGTAGTATTTGGGGTGACTTGTAGTCCGTTTCTCTTGGCGGGTACGATTAATTATCACTTAGCCAATTTTGAAGGAATGTACGGTTAGACAGTTGAAATTTTGAAACACTCCTTTTATGTTGGTAATTGTGTAGCTAGTTTTGATACAAAAGAGGCTTTATTTACTTTTATAGACGAAGCTAAGGAAGTTATGCTAAAGGGGGGTTTTGATTTACGATGTTGGGTTACCGCTCCTATTAGAGTAGATAACACTGTCCAGACTCAATCTGTATTAGGAGTGCTATGGAATACTCTTACGGACGAATTACAGTGTAGTTTCCGTCTTAGTAGCACTATACCAGATCGGGTCACGAAGAGAGATCTTTTGTCATTAACTCAGTAGATATTTGACCCTATTGGATTTCTTGCACCTGCTACCCTAGTGCCTAAACTAATAGTACAAAAGGCTTGGATAGATAGTACAGGTTGGGATCAAGCTATCAGCAACGAGTTCTCGAAGGAATTTAAGAGTTGGCTAAATCATGTTCATCTGATAAATGATTGCAAGTTGCCGAGACGCTTATCATAGGAGAGGTTGACGAACTGTAACAAAAGTTTACATTTGTTTTGTGACGCATCTATTAATGCTTATGCAGGTTGTGTCTTTCTTCGGACCGAATGCAAAAGTAAAGTTACGATTAGGCTGGTTATGGCCAAAAGTAGAGTAGCGCCAATTAAAAGATCAATAACTTTACCTAGATTGGAGCTAATGGGAGCGCTTATTGCATCGCGGCTTGCAAATGAGATAAGTAGAACGTTGTTGACCGACGACACCTGCCCGTTATATTGTTGGACAGACTCCGCGGTTGTGTTAGCCTGGATCCAAAGACAGTGTTCTTGGAAGCAGTTTGTGAGCAATAGGGTAAGTGAAATTTGTGCTCACACTAAAAAGGAACATTGGCGGCACGTACCGGGCCACTGCAATCCGGCAGACCTACTGTCACGTGGCTGTAATATGAAGACATTAATGGACAGTCACTGGTGGGATGGCCCTGCTTGGCTATTATCTGACCAAGAACTGTGGCCTCAGTCTAATCACATTGCAGTAGATGAGAACGCTGTTTCCATAGAAGCAAAGAAGGAGGTACTTGTAAATACTAATGTAGATACTGAACATTTTAGCGAGAAGCTTTTATACTTTTCTAAGTATTCAAGAATTATACGTGTAGTAGCTTGGATATTCCGATAGAGAAGGCGACGAATGTTTAGTATAGCTTATATAAGCAATGATGAATTCGAAAAAGCTGAGAATATACTTATAAGACTTATTCAGGGTGAACATTATGTAAATAGAACTAAATTGAATAAGAAACTGTGCATACATTTAGATAGTAATAGTATTATGAGAGTAAAGACTAGATTAGGTTTAGGAAATTATGATAAAGATTTTTCGAGTCCCATATTATTACCAGGGAAAAATGTCATTGTGAGGCGACTCGTTGAAGAGAAACATATATACTTAAAGCACATTGGATCACATACTTTAATGTCAGAGCTGAGAAACAGATTCTGGATTACAAGTGTGAGATGGCTATGTAAGGATATAGTTAAGAAATGCATAATTTGTCGTAGGCAAAAGGGCATACATTATGATACACCGGAGACACCACTCCCTCTTGAACGGATTCAAGGCACGGCAGCGTTTCAAATGACAGGTATAGATCTGGCCGGGCCGTTGTATTTACGTAATCAAGAGAAATGTTGGGTGGTTTTATTTACTTGCGCGACATTTAGGGCTGTGCATTTATAGATGGTAGACTTATTGTCCACAAATAGTTTTATTATGAGTCTTCGTAGATTTATTGCTCGAAGAGGTCGTATAGACGTCATTTTCACGGACAACGGAACAAATTTTCGAGGGACTGCCAATTTACTGAAGGATATTAATTGGCAGGAGGTTGAAAGTGTGACGGCAGTCCATGCTATAAAGTGGCGTTTTATTCCACCTAGAACTCCTTGGTGGGGAGGTTGGTGGGAGAGGCTCATTAGAGTATTAAAGGAGATGTTGCGAAGAATATTGGGGCGTCAGCGATTGACTTGGGTAGAGTTGGACACAGTCTTGTGCGATTGTGAAGCTGTCATTAATAGTCGGCCACTAACATATGTCTCGACTTGTACCGACGATTTGCGGCCACTTACACCTATTTTATTTCTACATGGCTTACCTTCTAATGATACTTCTGATTTAGATTATGTAGATAATATGAATTTAAATGTAAGATACAAATATTTACAAAAGTTGAGAGAAGATTTCAGAGTTCGATTTCGTAAGGAGTATTTGGCTTTACTTACAGCTAGATGGAAGGAGAAGACAATAGAAATGAAGAAAGGAGATATAGTTTTAGTAGAAACAGACGCGAAAAGGCTATTTTGGCCCTTGGGGTTAATCATGGAAGTAGTTACCGGGGCTGATGGTGTTATTCGTTTGGCTAGAGTCAAGACTCAAAAAGGTGAAACTTTAAGACCATGTCAGAGATTGTATCCGCTAGAGATTTCAAATGATTCTGACCTCTTGCAACGAGCTGAAGTAACGATAGAGGATGAGAAGTTATCAGTAAGTTCAGATAGTCCCGACTTACCCTCCTCGGTTACAGGTGGCGCGAAGGTGACGAAAACAACGCGGTGCGGTCGAAATGTGAAATTGCCTGCTCGGTACTTATGAATTACATTTGGTTTTATGGTTTTCCTTAGTATGTTGAGTTGCGTTAATTGGTTACCATTTTCTTTCGGGTCTGGAGTGTGTTGAGGATAAATAAATATTGTCTACGGCCCTTTTAGGTTTTTTATATCTTGTAAGTTGTTGTCATGGTTACGAAAAATAACAAGAAAAATGTAAGATTATTATTATTATTAAGATTATTATATATTATTATAATTGTAAGTCATTGAGCATTGTGCAGCACTATAAAAGTTAGGGCCCTGTAATGTCCATCCTAGCCTCGTCTTAATAGCTACTAAAGGCCCATCTAATTGTACAATAGTGCCCGTACAAATTACTCCTAAATAATCAGCTCCTATTAATATATTTACATCGCTAAGGTCACAGTCACTGTCGTCAATACTTATATTCAGTGACTTTAACTTTGACCTTAGCTTGGGATCGTCTGCTTTGGGAAGATAGCCATTTTCACTGAAGGTTAATTAAAAAAAATGTAAGTATATTTTACTTTTTTGCAACAGCAATGTAACAAGGATTTTGCAAACACGCACCACTGATTTGAAGCTATGGCTACCAAAAGGACGTATGGTTGACTTCACTAGAAAGGATATTGAAATAAAAGTAATAAAAAAGACTACATCCATGTGAATCGCCGTTAGGGTCATGGATATTGAAACGGATGGAAATGAAAGCGCCCCTTTTCCTTGTTTTGTAAAATACTAAAGTTAATTTCCCTTTTTATTCAAAAATGCAAAAGATAATAAAATAATTTAATAGTTAAGTACTTTTCTCGCAAAAATCCACCTTATAGACATGATAAACATTATTCAAATCATTGAAGATTTTATAAGTGGTGGGCTCCTCTTTTTATTATTTTACCACGTTTTTATTAACACTCTTGTGTTCAATACAAACTTAAGAATCGTTTTTAAACCAATTTCCCAATGAGTTTGAGATTTAAAATTTATATACAGGGTTATTTTTCAGAGTAGTGATTTTTTTTGAACTTAAGTTGTAATATATACACAATGATATACCGTTATTGCAGTTTTTGAAAATATAAGTAAATAAGGTTTCTGCTTTTATTTGCAATCATCCCAAATTGAATGCGATTTATGTGACTACCACGTATTTGCCTACCGAGCGACCTTTACGAATGTGTGCGTGCGCATTAAATCTGTTAAAATATAGCATTAACATGCATATTGAGTTTAAAAAATAAAAAGGACACAATGTTTGAAATTTTTTTTTAATTAATTTTTTTTACCATTTGCCTATATTACTTATTCTGAACCGTCTCTGCAAATTTGGCCGGTTATTTCAAAATAACCCTGTATAGTTTAGGACTATTATCGTAACAGAAATGGTTGCCACTTAAAAATTATAGTGTTTTAAAATATTTCTGACTAACCGTCTTACAACTCTTATATTATATAATTAATACTACTATTTATTCGGATCTATGAAAATTTAAATACAATGTAGTAATTTAAGTTTTTACATTCAATATTCCATAGGAATGCGAAGGTATTCAATAAAAACTGGATTAAACATTCTGCCGATATCTATATAATTATATTTGTCTGTACTTGTATTTTAATATAAATTTGTCAGCCTTCGCATACTAAGTTAAACGGCCCTGAGGACAAGTCAGAAGAAAAATTTGTTTGATCCAAAGATTTTCTATATTTACTGTTTCTACGTAATTGTTATTTAATTATTTGATATTATCTTTGACCTTTATTTTTTGAGTTTATTTCCGTTTAAATGTAGATTATTAACGTTATACCAATGCACTAATTTTGATATAGCATTATTCACATCGTCACATTTGAATGATTGACTTTTAAGATGAATTTTAAATCAAGGAAGTATTATCATCAAATAATACTATATCATGATTATCCCCTACAATCAAGGTAAGTCACTAATATACACTAGAAACAGGAAAGGGCCGAGAATCGAGCCGTGAGGGACACTCATTAGTACAGGTGACCCTTAAGAACTTTTACCACTGATAATAATAACTTTCTGCATTCTACTACTTAAATATGAAATAATAGATTTAAGCGCTGTGTTCTTGACACCATAGTACTGTAGCTTCCTGATTAATGTCTCATAGTGAACACAGTCGAAGGCCTTGGAAAGGTCACAAAATATACCCAAAGCATTCTCTGTATTCTCCCATGCACAAAAGTATGTTTAATAAGCTCAACTCTAGTCAGTCAGTTTTCGAGCGAACCCTTGTAAAATTAAATTCATTTTTTTTTGTAGCAATTTATTCATATTAAAGAAACTTACCATTTGATTTAAATTATTTTTTCCAAAATTTTAAAAATGTTGTAGCACAGAAATTGGTCAAAAATTGACGGGGTCAAATATACTACCAGATTTAAATGAAGGTATAATTTTACTATGTTTCATTAAATAACAAAACACACTAGATTCGATGTATGTATTAAATATAGTGGCTATATAAGGAGCTATTGTACCTATTATAGATAAAATAACTTTAGCGGAATCCCCTATAAGTCTGCCGTTTTCTTAACATCAATAGGTGTAAAATATTGAACGATATCTTTTGGCAATAATCTATGGAATTTAAAATTATTTTAACAAGCCTCTACATTTTAGCTAAGCAATGATTCGGCGACAGTAGGAAAAGAATTTAATGAATTTGTCGTCAAAAAAGGAACATCAGTAAAATACTTCGCAAAAGCCATAGCAACTTCATGATCAGATCGAGTTAATGTATTATTAATATTAAATTCAAAATCCGAGTTGCGCGGTTTCACCTTGCCCGTTTCACTTTTTATAATTATCCAGATCATTTTAATTTTGTTGGATATAGTTTTAATTTTGTTGCTTAAACTTAAAGCCTTACTGTGGATCATACTTCTTTAAATATCTTAGAATATGTTTTTACATAATCTTTAAATATAACACTACTATTATATGATCATTCATTATAAAGCTCGTATAACCTTCGCCTACTTTTATAAATTCCTAATGTCGTTACTGTGTTCCTACTGTCGAGTGACGCCACTTTTAAGTTCCATCTATTTTTAATATCGAGATTCCGAAGCGATTTATAGGAATACCCGTTATTCACATTATTTCAATACTCAGTCGAATTTAGTTTATAAGATTGTTTGTAGAAACTTTTTTGTTGAAGAAGGATTTATATAAGTGGTAAAATAAAACAGAAACATAAACAGAACAGCTTTCAAATAAAAGGAGAATCATCAAAGTCGGTTCAATTAGAAAAAAGTAATAAGGTGACACACATAAAAAATACAGTCGAATTGAGTACCTCATCTGCTTTGAAGTCGGATAAAAGAGCACATAGTTCCCCTGATCCATCTATATAATATATATTCCATATAGATATATCGAAATCTATAATTGATTAAGAATTAAAATGGAGATGCGTTGTCATCTCTGAGGACTAAAATAGAATGCCTCGTTTCGGAACTTTTTACGTTTTATACATTCACTAAAAGAAACAATAGCATTAAACTTCTATTTTA